TCAGAAAAGTATATTTTAGTTTTTGAAAAATTTTTAATATAGAGAATTACATTCTGATAAAAGATAGCTAAATAGCAGTAAAATAAATAAAAAATCAGCAATTTCAAAACGAAAACTCTTTCCAATCAATTTAAATTAGTTTTGAAATACAACAAAGTAATTTGCTCATTGGAAATGTTAAATTTAATCTATTATCTTGACAGTAAAACTAAAATAAAATATTGAAGAAAGATTTTCATTTTAAAAATATTTTAAACATTGGACATCGCGAATCTGTACAGGCAGCTACTTTTCATTCTATGAATTATATGCTCGATCAGATTTTGTTGTCGCATCCAGGACCACTGTTTCTATTAATCAATGAAGCTTTCTTTTTGCAGATGTTTAATTTCTTCTTAAAACCGTAACATATATTTTAATGTATAGTCTAAACACATTTTCGAAAAAAAATTATGCAGCGACTGCATTAATTCCCCTTAAATGATTGGCCACGGTAAATCAGATAAGGTTTCGGCTTTATTTTATGATTTTGCATTTTTTTTGTTAGATTTTCCGATCAACATTTACAAACTTGAAATATATATTCTTGCTATTTTTCCAGAAGTAATGTTAAAATATGTCCACATAAAATCGAATTATTCATCATAAATTGTTCATTTCAACTAGAAAAGTACCAAAAGTAAACTTTACGAATTGTAGCAATGCTCACGAACATTATTTTTAATAAATATTTTAAAAATTACTATAATAATTTCCATATCTTCTTTGAACATTTATGCCGTATTTTTTAGATACGAGATTGTTGTTATAATCATTTCCATACTCGTTTTTGTTGTTATACTCAAAGCATTTCGGCCGTTTTAGCCTCTCGATTTCATCAGGTGTCTATCGTACTTGATAACCTTAAGTGGTTCAAGGAACATTCGCCGTAAACATTTTTAGGAAAACTCGCCTCAGGAATTTTCGCTGTAGAAAACTGCCGTATAGGATTTTTGTCGTAAGACAGTTTCGCCACATTTTTTTTTAATATGCGAAGTCCCTTGTGATGAAGTATATCTGTCTTACACTATTGCTACTTCGATTTAAACATTTTAATAATTAACATGCACCCAAATTTGTGGAAACTAATTGCGTATTTGAAAAAGGAAGAGACATTAGCACAAAAGAAGTGTGATTTGGATCGAGGAGACGCAGTACAAATGAAGAAAATATATATTTATATCAATTTCATCGGAAAATGCTTTATTACATTCAAACGCAAAATACATATTATTTACGAAGCATTGCTTGGAATTTGAACACATTTTAAATTATTTCTTTGTTAATTTGATATTTTTTATTTTTTTATTTTTTTAAATAAATGTTTACTTTTTAATTTCTTTTGTGATGCTTGACACTATAAAAAAGACATCCATTTATACTTGATAACAAGGTACTTCGCATATTAAATTGAACATTACTCCAAAGGGGACGTTCAAGATAAGGTTATGGAAAAAGAAAAGATGTGGCGAAATTGTCTTACGGCAAAAATCATATATGGCGAAGTTTCCTACGGTGAAAATTCTTGAGGTGAGTTTTCATACGGCAAAAATGTTTACGGCGAATGTTCCGGGTACGCTTAAAACTAGACCTAAGATAGAGGTGAACGCCGCCTGCGTTCATCTGATTAAGAAAGAAAATATACTTAAAAATTTCGCCACCTGAGTGCAGGCATTGTTTAAGGCTTCAAAATTACACAACTAGATTGTTCAAAAGCCTCGTGGATGAAAGCGTTATTTGATTTTTCATTGCAGTTGTATGTACAATCCTTGGGTCAGGAGTGCGGAAAATTTGTGTTTAATCGTAGAAACGAATATGCAATACAAAGGCGAATAGAGAATTAACTGCTATGAGTTATCCCCCTTAAGCGTGGAAAGTGGAACGAGAACAATCTAAGCCAGTAGATTGAATAAATATCCAGTTTAGCGAATATGATAGATACGTGATGCGGCGAGGTTGCGTATATGATAAACACTTGATGCGGTGAGGTTGGGAGTATAAAAACCAAAATGAAATTATATATAATAATCCTATTTGAATTTTTTTAATCAATTTACCCCAAGCAAAACAATAATGTTACTAAGCTATAATGAGCTACTGGGAGTGAATGGGCATTCGAAGACTACAGAAGAAATCCGAAATCCAATCATAAACAGGAAACAAGAAATAAACGTCTATTCCTGTTCAAAAGTCCGGGAAGGAGTGTGAACCGAACGATAAGCGAACCCACCTACTGCTATTAAGTTTTGGTTTTGATTGCAAGAAATAGCATAAAATTACTTTTACATTTAGACTGTATCAATGTTAATTTTTGTCATTCAAAATTAACTTTGAGTCATGTCTGCCGGGAGAAAAGTAATGAAAACTCCCGAAAATAAAGTAGCCGTTATAGAAATATATGATCCCACGAAAATTAGTTAATCAGAACAAGCACAGCAGCCATTGTATCGTAGGACGTGTGTACTGGAGGATTGTTCTGATGAAACAAGACCACTTTCGTCAGTTTTCCTGAGCGTTTGGTCAAGATGGCCTTTCGTTACTGCCTCAGCATGTTGACATAGTTGATCTTGTGTCCCTTTTGAACATATCAATAAACACAATGCATTTCCTTCTCAAAAATCTGATGATGACGTCATATCCGCTGTTGATGACGTTTGTGACCAACAGCATGAACAGTCAGACGTCAGTTTACCTAGAACGAAACAACGCAGAAGCGTTGAAATTAATGCATGCAATATTTCACAACTCTTGCATCACTCCTTCATGACCCCTATGAATATTTCAGCTCACCCTCATAGGTCTTATGACAATAGATTTTTTCTGAAATTTTCCAAATACATTTTTGAGTAAAATTAATTTCTTCATTGCACCAAACTCGTTGATAGATAGATTTCTTTTTCCCACGCTCGCTTTAATCTACAACTGAGTTCAGTAGAGCAGTTTTCAAAACATGAAAATGATTAAAACACTGGCAAATCCCTTCAATTGTCGGTTTAGTCACATTCCGTCAACAGGTCCCCCCAACCATGTTGCGTATTTTTAGACATGAAGAAATCTCTTGGCAACTTGGTAGAAGCGTCTCCGAGTTTAGTGTACATTGCCATGACATAAAGAAAAATTGGTAATCTCAAAATAACATAAAAGCCCTACGTTTATTCAGCCGGGCTTACAAATATTGAATTAACGCTTCCCTGTTTGATATGGTTGTGTCTTAAGCTATGGTCGGTCACTTCATTTTTAAGGGGATTACTTTTCGTAAGAATAAGAAATAGAAGTTGGGATCGACAGAGAAAAGTAATGGCAAAAGTGATTGCCGCACTTGCTCGGGATGTCATAAGTCAAAATTTAACTCCTTAACTGTTTAGCCAATAACTTTGTCACGCAGGAGCGGGAGACGAGCACTACAATTAGAAAAAACTGAATTTAAAAAAATAATAAAGAAATTTATTGCACAACCAATAAATAAAAACAATTATAAGCAATAAGTCAAAAGATATAAAAATAAATTATGTTGTTAAGATTGGACGCCATTACTGAATCCTGGTAGGACATCTAGTTCTCTCACAGTTTATTCCACAACAAATAAATAAATAAAAATTATAAAGAATAAGTCAAAATATATTAAAAAAATTACGTTAATCTATGATTACTTAGAATTATTTGTTACTTTTTTTAATAATAATTTTTATCTAGATATTAAAAGGTGAATTGTGTTTTGTTTGATGAACCTCCAGAAATCTTGCTTCATATTTGCACCTATTATATATTCCTCTTAAATAGTAATGTTGCATTTTACTTGATAGTAATGCTCTTTCGGAATTATTTTGCTGTATTTTAGGCATATTTGATGGTAATTCGTGGTATTTCGTTTTTTAGCAGGGCATTTCGGTAAAGAGCAAAATTGATTAGACACAAAATGATCAGAAAACCAGAAGTCAACAGATTTATTAATAGAGGAAAATGTAACAAAAATACTGAACTCAAAATGAAAACGTCAAAGACCATTGAAGTTTTCACGACAGGAACCCTGAAAAGAAAAATGAAAAATGAAAATAAATACAACACTGGCGGATGAGTAAAAGAATTAGGAGAAAAAAGAAAACGTAAAAATCTGATAGCTTTTTGTGAAACGGCTTGCTAGATATGTGTCCACAACCAAAATGTCTTATACACTTTCAAATTTCATTTACTCAAGTAATTTTATCAGATGTTGATAATTTCACAAATATTAATTTCTTCTTCTATCTTGAAACACACAATTTGCAAATTTAGCTCATTGAATTGTAAACAAAATTTAACAAAAGGTATTTACGTGAAAAAAAGAAGGCTCATGACATACTGGGGTTAATAATTTTTCTTGGTTTATTTCTAAAATGTTCGTTTATTTTTATTGTTAGAACATATTTACAATTTAATTTGCTTTATGCTGATGTATCTCGGGATTCTGTTGCCTAGCAAAATAAAAATATTTATCATCCCAACATCGTTACTTTCTTTTGTTATATTAAGCATTTGGTAGTGATAGAAAGGAATAACAAGGATTAGATTTTGAACAAGGTTTATTGTTATTATGTTGTATAGAGACGTTGAACGATGGGTGGAATAACCGTTTCAGTGGCTGATTATCAGGATGGCGATCGGGTGTAAAGGGTAGCGCCGGAAATTGACCTAATTCTTGTGTGGATATGGTCGGTGTACGTTTGGTTGTTCGAGGTCATGGAAAGGGACCGCAGTGACAACTGCAAGCGAATGCCTTGTACGCCAAGGTAACATCAGGTTGTTGTGGTTTTGTAGGCCCGTTCTGTGGAACGGAGTCGCGGTAGGCCGAGGTGAGGGTGTTGGGTTGCCCAGGCAACGAGGTGTAGTCGGATTAGCGTGGGCGGTGTGCCTGTTCTGTTGAACGGGGTGTGGTGGCGACTGCAAAGGTAATGCCTTGTAAACCTAGTAGAGTAAGTCGAGACGGCGGTTGGTTGCCAAGGCGACGGTGGGTGGGTCGAGTGGGCTGCATGCTTGAGGAGTCGGAGTCGCTTGCTTGCGTAGTTGGATTTGCCGAGGTGACAGCGTTGTCGACCAGGAAGGCTTGTAGCTGGGTGGTGCCGACGTAGAGATGTTACCAAGTCGGTATTTGCACGAGGTGACAGCGTCGCCAACGATGAAGGCTTGTAGCTGGGTGGAACCGAAGTTGATGTCGGTATTTGCCGAGATAACTTAATGTTGAAGTTGAGATGTTATCATATCAGTATTTACCGAGGTGAGAGTGTCGTCGACGATGAAAACTTGTAGTTGAGTGGAGTCGAAGTTGAGATGTTATCATGTCGGTATTTGCAGTGGTGACTTGTAGCTGGGTGGTGTCGACCGCTCGTGGCTGATAGTCGACCGCTCGTGGCTGGTGTTTACCGAGGTGGAGATGTTATCAACGCGAAGCTGGATCGTCGAGGTGGTTAGTCAATCCTGGGAGTGGTAACTGTCGTTGAGAGGTGAGGTCATGTTGAGAGGCGGCAGTGACGGTGGCGAAAACGGCAGCAGCAGCGCACCGGGCCGCAACTGCCGGTATTGTTCGCAGAGACATCTGCATCTCTCTTTCTGTCTCTCTCAGGTGGAAACATTCGCGATTGGCCACTGCCGGAGCTCGCTTCGTAGACGGGACGTGATGCGTGGAGCCTAATGCGCAGAAAACGACTTTTGATATTTCGTTCTCTGCCTTCGTGGCGTTCACATCTGGCCAGCATGCAGAATGAATCAGAAAGAGTATAACAGCATGCAGAATGAATTGCGACAGAGTATAACATTGTCTTTCTTTTAAACTTGCACGAATTCATTCATTTTACATTCCTTGTTGTTGAGTCGCCGATCTTGGATCATACGTCACACAACGAACATGTTTTCCTTATCAACTGCAGGATAGTCCGATAGTCAACTGTTTTCAGCCTTTCGCAGTTACTGCTTCTGGTCTTTTCTTCCTGCATCTTGAATCGGTGAGGGAGGTGGTCTGGTAATTTCTCTTCCATTTTGTCATTCTGCCGGCCGTCTCACTGACAGGGTTACATGTAGGAAGTTTCCTAGTGAACGTAATTGTGTCTACAGTAGAAGAGAGTCTTTTTCAAGAATTCTTTGTGTCTCTTCAATGGAGCATCACTCCTCTTTTGGTCAGAGACTAGTTTCCCGGTCGTCCTCCATCATAGCCAGCCAACAGCATATGTTTGTTTGTTTTTTATTTACAATGGTGTTCACTGTGTACAAAGCCCTAGAGCCACCTGAGGTAGAGAGTTACAGAATAAGAGGTAAAGCTTATGCGGATGTGTGCCTAAGATAAAGACTAACCCTGGATTGGTCAGATTAAGTTTGTAGTGATCTGGAAAGAAGCCTCTTGGGAGTCGGTTCCACAATGCAGTGGTTTGTGGGAATAAGCTGTTTGGTGGATCTTACATCTCACCAGGGAAACATGAAGGGAATGAGGGTGGTTCGCTAAAATGTGCGTGGCATGATGGGTCTTAGCCGTGAAAGTTTTAAATGGTGGAACTATGGAGTTCATCTGAACACTCACCATGGAAATAGTGAGAGATTAGTGAGAGGCCTGCGGCGTCACGTCTGTGTGAAAGGGATTTTAGAGTGGAAAATAATTCGTCACCTGCATGACACGGAAACGCCTTTGGGTTCTATCGATAGTGGAAAGTGAAGACTGGCCAGGTTCCGCCCATATATGGCAGCAGTACTCCATTTTTGGCCTAATCTGGCCCTCGGTATTTAGAGGATAGCAGGAGGAGTGAACTACTTGCTGGAGCAGTATAGGAAACTGAACATTTTCCTAGCATATTTAGCGATGGGACGTACGTACGAGTTCCACTTAAGGTCTGGGTTGAGTTTAAGTCCTAATAGGTGCTTAAGGTACGAAGCCTCTCCCTGTGGGAACATCCTTTCGTAACGATTGGTGAAAGTTCTGGGTTTGACCGGTAATGGTGGAAGGTCACTAGTTTGGTCATTGAGGCAGTGAATGTGACCAGCCACTTTTTCTCCTCGAGCTTCTTCCGGGGTATAAAACTCTCCATTCCAGTGAGGATCCATTCTGATACAAGAGCAACAGTTTTAGGGGCTGTGTGTTTGAAGTAGGCTGAGAAGTCAGGTTCCGCCATGTAAGATCTGAAGTAAGTCTGCTTTCATGTACCGAACGATCGTTCTATGAAATGGTCTATCAGGAGATCCCTTTGGTTTAGCATCAACATTGACTAGGGAATAACCTGAAGTGCCCAGCGGGGTAAAACTTCTGCAAGGGATTTTTCAGGACAGGATGTGCGTTAGATCGTAGGCGATGGAGAAGTCTCTGTAGTGTCTGCCATCTTCATCAATTTTGTTCGAATGGACGAACCACTCTTTGTGACGAATATTGTAGTCACCATTCAGTTTCATCATCCTGAGGACGATACTGGGTGAAAATAAAGGCGATACACTGCAGAAGTATATATACGGGAGATAGGGATATTCTTTCTTAGGTTCTCTGCCACAGGGAAACCCGTCGTTAATATAAGTGCAGAGTCCGTGACCGTGGCGCTTTTGATGGTCCTGTTTAGCTGTTAGGTGTGAGTAGCCTGGAATTGTGAGCTCCAAGAACAACATTTGTTTCTACATTTTACAAAAATTTAAGTTATTTTTTTACTTAAATGCGTCAGTATAGACATGACTAGTTTAGTTTCGCAAAACTATTGAATGAAGCTACATGTGAACGCAGGAATTATCCTCAAATAATAATTCAGATTATTAAGTGATACAATTCCTTAACATAGATTAAGCGCGGAGTATAGTAAAATCTAGCAAGTCTAGAAATTCTGACCAAATTTAGTGTTCAGTGTCTGTCATGAAATCACGCTAATGCATTTTTATAATGGTTTGGAGACAACGCTAATGGAAGCGCTCGTGTTACGTGCAGTCTAACACTTTCGCCCCGGCCCCTCAACCTCCGGCGTCTTACTCTCGGGGTTGAGGTGTCCTACCCGAACTTAAGGGAGTGGCCATAGGTCCCCTGAACATCTGTAGATCATTCCAACGGTCCGTTGGTTTAATCCTGCCCACATTGTGATTTGTTTGATCCAGAAAGCAGAAGTGATGTCCGGCCATTCACGGTCGACTGAAGATGTAGACACGGCTGGGGAGTCTGCGCTAAGAAATTTAGAAAGCAGCAAAAAAAAAAAAAAAAAAAATTAATATCTGCAGAAAGCCGGACAAACATCGATTCAATGGTTGAATTGTTAATGTCTTTTATATAGCAGAAAAGAATAGTAGAGAAGAGAAACGGGTTACAGAAAAGAAAAAACAACAACTCATACACTGGTTGAGAGAGAGAGAGAGAGAGAGAGAGAGAGAGAGAGAAAAGAATATGATTATCTTGTTGTTAAATCGTCTTAGAACGATATATGACTCTTGCGATGGAGGGATAAAGATTTCTGTGCAGGGCTTAGTTATAGTGGCGTTCCTCCTCCCAACACTTGCCTGGGCCAATTCGCTCTTCTCTCTTCAAGAATTTTCTCCAGTCTGTCTTTTTCAAAATAACTACGCGTTTATATAGATAAACCCGGCTGATTATAACTGACCCTCGGCCCTACTACTTCGCACGCGATTATCACGGGGTTCTGGCTGCTTCAACCAAAATCATGTGAATTCCAAAGTTCCTTCTAGCTTACTTAGCTCTATTTCAATTTTTAATCGATAAAAATTATTACGACCATTTCCATTGTCATCTGATGACACAGATTCAATGGGTACAACTTCTGCCCTAGATCAGATTTCCCCATCAGCAAACAAAATACTCTGATTTAATTTCGCTATTCAAATCTACTCCAATTTCACTAAAAAAAAAAATATACGTGTGTGTGTTTTCCAGACTCTCTCTCTCTCTCTGTCACAGTAGCACTGGTATACGACTCAGGATTCGGCACCATATAGAACAGTGGACAACTCGATATCTTTTTTAGTTTATTTTATTTTTAGTTTTGTATAATTCATGTTGCCATAGATACGTCTATATTTTGATGAGCCTTAGGAATTCAGTTATCCTCTGGACAAAAATATTAGGCTATGACGATGCATGATAGGTAAATTCCTGCATCATTTTAGCGTCGTCAGGTCGATGGGGACGGAAGGTGGGTGATCATTTTGATACGGGGACCAGTAATATATTGATATTATTGATGTAACCAATATAAAAACGGTGATTAAGGTTAATTCACTTCGTGGAAAAGGAGAGAATTATAATAATACAAATGTTTATTGGTATTATATATAAATAATATATAAATAGTATCAACATTCGATGAGATGGTTTTAGCGATTCTACTGATTTTCGTGATCAAATTTACACATAAGCTATACAGGACATAATTGAAAGCAGGATATAGCCGCTCAAAAAGTGAAAAGAATCGACTGTCTTTTGTGATGGGTTGCACTTTTTAAGAAACTCAACGTCTTTTTGGATGACGGCTGGTGGAAATAAAAATGCTGGCCACCTGTATGTGAGACATCAGAGAAATTCAACTGATGTATTGAGGTTTTGATTTTATTTAAATTAATTGAATCCAAGGGTTGGAAATGCATTTTCTGTGTAAAATTCTGATTGATCTGAATGACGGGGCATTTGGATTCCCTTTTTATTTAAAATAATGTGCAAATACGTTTACTGATAGTTTTGAACATTACCAAGGTTACTCATCACTTTGCCACCAATCAAAATACCAACATCAAAATATCAACAATTAGAATTTCTCTTTAAATAATAATTATAATTTGAATCTTTAAATAAATATGATTATGTAACTCATTGACAGCTTATTTTTTATATCTTGTGATGATCATGTGGAAAACAACTTGGTATTATTTACAGCATATCACATGACTCTTGTATGTTTGGCACCATCCAATAAATAAATGAAGTCCGATACACGTGTAAATATTCATCTGAATTGTTTTGTTTTGATATTAAAATATAATTGAAGCTCACACATTCACTGCAACAAGTTATGGAATCAGTAACTTACTTTTGAAGAAAAATCTGAATTTTAGGAAAGAAAACCCCAGTCTTATCAGCGTCTACAGTAACTACACATATCCTTGGATCAAATTTAAACGCCAATGACAATATGAAGAAAAGAATGCAAGAAGAAACAATGCAAGTAATACGGAAATCCGTATTACTTGCATTGTTTCTGAAACATGAAAGGTT